GGGTTAGATGGCCTGGGTGAATGATAAAATATAGATTTGTATTGTTAGTTAATAAAACGTAGATTATTATCTTTTTTAAACAGGCCAAAGAACTCTTAAACTTGCTACTAATTGCAATATTTTAAATTTCAGAAAGACCACAGGCAACAGAAATAAAGTAAGTAGAGGAATACTGAATTTTTTGTAGAGGTGGGCTACAACAGCAAAAGTAACTGGTCATAGAGGCTTTTCTATGCATTTAACAGTTTGCTTTGGGCAAAGTATTGACACCCATTTTTTTTTTTAATTTTAGGGACATTTTTATAGTAAATTTATGTCTGTGTCTGTTATAGTAGCCTTTTTCGGTTATTTGTTTTGTTGCAGCGTTCACTAAGGCAGTCACAAGTCTTTCAACTAGATCCCTTGAGAGGAAAAGATGCCTCTGAGATCCTTGACAGCGGCAGACAACAAGCTATCTCCGGTGCAATTCTTCGGGGCATTACTGACATTCTTAATGGTCCTGAACTGGATTCCAGCCTGAGGGATTGGCAACTAGAGATAACACAGGTATTAAAGTTAATTGACATACGTACCCAATTTGTTTCCAGGAAGAAAGACTCAGTCAAGCAAGACAAAAAGAGGAAATATTCCTTTTAATGTCTTGCTAGAAACAGTTAAAGTAGACCCTTCCCGTACACCTTTGAACAATAAGCAACAACATGAGGCTCCAGTTGACAAAACACAAAGTACATCGTTTTGTATGAAAGTGCCCACCCAGTCCTTGACCTTATTAAGTACCGTATGTGTTCCCACTGAAGTGGAATTCAGGGACTACTTTGGTCTACAACATTAAAAATTGTCAAACATTTACAATTCTCACTGTCAAACAAGTGCACAAGGTTGTTGTCTGCAATACGGTGGGTTTTTAAGGCAAACATTTCTCTGCAAGATGGTATACAATAAAAATATTATTAGTTGCTGCCTAGATTTTGAAAGCAGAAAAAAAAACTGAAAAGAGAAGAAAGTGTGATCAATAGGATAGGCACAAGGCAAAAGGACAAAGTGGGGATGGGTTGCGCTTAGCCTGCATTGCAGCCGCCCATGCACTCGTCTTATAAACCAAGGTTTAGAGCATCTGCAACGCAGGCAAGGGATAGGGAGGGGAAGAAAAAAACTCCAATCAATGATAAGAATACTTCCATTTGTTTTATGGCTTGTCTTCCCTGACCGCCTGCTTCCCTATCTTGTGACTCTTGAATCCTAGTGTGGCCTGTGTTCCTGCCACCGCAGGCTTTATTAAGTAGGGAGTTTTAGCATCGACAACGGCTACGACAATGAAAACATCACTTTTAAAATGAATTAGTGTTTTTCAAACTTCATCGTGTTTATTCCAAATTATTCACTGAAAATGTCTAATGTAGGCAACTTTCCCTGGAGATGATTTCTTGGGCACCACTCTCAAGTTCGGAAAGAGAAAGAAAATTTCCTCGTCACTTGTTTACGTCCTCCATAAAATGTGAAATTAGGCATTTTCACATCGTAGTCGTGCCGCAATGGCAAAGATATGTACAAAAAAGCGTGATGCACGTGCAAACTTTTTTGTTTGCTTAATAAAACTATTGCTGTTTTGACGCTCTTGTTGCTGTCGCTGTTGTCGTTGCTAAAACTCCTAGGAGAGAGTGCTATTTTGTTGACTAAATTCTTTCCTTTTCAAGGTGAGAGTGACCCCAGATCTTGGGTATGCAACAATATACTGGGCAGTTTCAGGTGAATCAAAAGGTGATGTTGAAACTGTTCAAAGCCTTTTGGATGAAAACACAAATTACATAAGGTATGTATTTTTACCCTGAAGCTTTGAAAATTGAGGGATTTTAATGAAATTTGCATTCATCTCATTACTCTCCTAGCTTCATAGCAATACTCAAGTTGGAGAAATCTATGTGTTGAGCAAAGCTTCATGTTTATAAGAAAACATCATCATAAAGCTCTATGGTTATTTTGAGCCTTCAAATTTTCACCTTGTTCCCACACTGTCATAGAAAAACTTTGGTCTCACTTTTCTCTCACTACTGGTCAGTCTGAGTGCAAAATGCACTGGCCCTTATTTTATTTTATTATATAGACACGAGTGTTTTACTGGAAAATGTACCACTCGTAAAATTCATAAAAACTATATCTGGGACCCGAGTGGTTTATTTTCCATAATCTCACACGTGAGTTTATCGATGACCTAATTTCGGTCATTTCCCTCTATTATTTTATGCCTTTTGGCTATATAATAAAAAGAACATTACACAGTGGCTTGAAGATATGAATTTTATTTTCTCGCGGCACTCGAAAATAAAATTCATATCTTCGCGCCACCGTGTAATATCCTCTATATATAACTGGCTGGAACATTGCACAAAGTAATGTTTGTTGGCCTTGGTAAAATCATTGTCATCTTTCCACCTTGCGGCTTGTGAGGTGAACTTTAACGTAGCCTGGATAACAGGCATTCAGATAGTGGGGATGGCGCAAAGAGAAGCGCCGCACTCCACTTAACTCCTAGAACAGGCTAGAACAGGCGTTATTTCTGCCTTCCTCAGGCAAGCAAAGGCAAGGGTGAAGAGAGCAATGAGCACTTTGTTTTGAGTGTTGTTTACCCCAAAAAAGCAAGGAATAGCACCTGTTCTGCAGACTTACTCTATGTGACAAGGCAGACAATTCATTGTCTTTTTGAACAAAAGATAACCTCAATTTGTACAACTATGTTTGTTTTTAGGAGGCTTCTTCCTGCTTACTCTTCCTTAGCCCGCTTTCCCCAGCTCATTTTCACTAAAGACAACAGTGCAGAGTATAAAGCAGAAATGGAGCATCTCCTTAATAAGGCCAAGCTGAATGATACGGGTTTTGGTGGAGAATGAGGATGAAACCAAGAAAAGCTGATGCGTCAAGATCTATGTCATTCAAGAATTCTGGTTGTCTACCATCAACAGTTTTTTAGGAACTTTGATCTTAAGACAAGTCATGTATCAGCATGGAAAGGAATCAGTGCAGTTTATATTCAATGGCCTTGATGTTTTGCTTTCAAACTCGAACATGTACTTTGAGAGAGTTCTACTTGTTTTGAATACAGTCAAATACCACCTTAATAGACATCTTTAATCACCAGATAGTTGCACTGCCAACAGGCACTGAACCAAATCTGAAGTCTGGCCTTAGATATACGAAGGTTGGTGATGGCCTATGGTTCTATTGCTGTGTGATACAGCCCTGCTAAAGACTATGTACATGCCTTTTCCTTGGAGTCATACTTGGTGTCCAGAATATAAGAGGTTTAATCATTATTTCAAGGGTCATTCTCCCAGGGGGGGGAGGGGGGGTTTTACTTCCTTATAAGAGGCTAATGGGGATGCTGCCGCTGGATGGGGTTGCATTTTCATGAGTGGATTGACTATAATGGGGTCGCATTTTCAATAGAGTTCCTAGAATAGGGTCACACATTTTTGGATTTTTTGGGGTAAGACAGTTCTTCATATTTACGGTTAGCAAACGTACCAGAATGTTTGTACTGCAGATGAAAAGTATAGTGTTCTTCATTCAATCTAAAAAATGGGTCAGTTCATAAAAAATTAATAGAAAGTGACTAAGTTGGGGTTGCGAAAATTACACATTTCTCCAAAAATGACTAAGATAGGGTCTATAATTGGCCACAGAATAGACATTCCTGCCTCCGCCTCCCGGGGTCATTCTGTAGGTCTTTACAACTTATACATCAATCAGCCATCTGCAAGACTCCCAATCAATCACTGTAAAAATAAACTTTACTTGCAAGTTTACATAAAAGTTAAATAGGATGAAAACAAAACTTACATGAAAACTTCTAAGTAAAGCTTATTTATACAGTTACTAATTTACCTCAACAGAGCAATAATTTATACTAAAAATATATACTTTTAATAATCCAGATTTTTTAAAACTTAAACTACAACATTGAGCTACTATCAGTACGTATTTTTTTAATTTTGTTTCTTTGTCTTTTGCTATGGAATGCACTCTTTTAACATTAATAACCAATAAGTAATAATTATTATTTCTACATGTACATGTGTAGGCAAGTTTATAAAACCTGCTTATAGCTAATGGTTCCTGAGTAATGTGATATCTGCTACATTAAGTACCAAAGGAAAAATAAAAATTGGATTGTTGAGTGCGAGCTCAGGGCATGCCACGACAGGAGGTACCAGGGTGCAAAGAAAATCATTTTTACAGCTTGCCATTCGGGCAAGCTGAAGCTAGCATTTGCTAGCCCAGACGTCATTTCAACTAGCCCCAAAAGCTTTTTGATGAGCAGAATTGATTTCACAGTTCTTCTGTTATTTGAATTCTTCAAAAAACATCACTTGCCCATCGGGCAAGTTAAAAACAGAATTCACTAGTCTGATAGCAAAATCCACTAGCCCCAGGCTATCGGACACGACTTTCTTTGCACGCTCGGTACTTGTAGGACACTTGTGCAACAGCAGTTCTTACATTGTATTGAGGAAAGTAAAGCTGCCATTCACCACTTTAGAGGGCCGAGTTAACTTTTGCAAAGACTTCTGGGACTGTTAAGTAACTTAACCCTTTAAGTGCCAATTGTGATCAAAAAGAATTTTCTCCTTATAATATCCATACATTGTCAAGAGTTAAAGTTATGAGAATTAATAAAATGATCACCAAAGGGAAAATGCTATGATCCTTCATCAAATTCTCTCAAGTAATTCTTAAGAAAATCTTTGGAGATCAGTTTGGAGAATTTGTATGTGGATATTAGGGCTTAAAGGGTTAACCTCCCCCAGATTTAACTCAACCCAGACTGTTTCCTTCTTGTTTTTAAAGTGGCAAATGTGTCAAGTAAAAGTGGTACACAAACATGACAAAATTATTTCCGGTATATGAAGAGTGTTCACAGTACAGGTGGAGAGGCATTCAGCAACAGGTGTCACCGGTCAATCAAGAGAGCGGCAGATGTCCTTCTAGAATCTGTTTATTATGGTTTTATGGTTTTTACTCAAACTTTTTTGGTAACAAGGAGGATCTTCCATATGGACTGTCTTGTTTATGTGATAACAAAATGTCTTTTCAGCTGGGCGCTGGGTGTAAATTTTTTTGCGTACTACCTTAGAATTTACGATAGAATAGATTTTCTGTATGGACTGTCTTGGTCGTGAGAGAGCCACAGATGTCTTTTGAGTTGGATGTTGGTTATAAACTTTTTTCCGCATTCTTTACAGATAAACTTTTCATCACCTACATGCTGACGGATGTGGCGTCTCAGTCCTTCCAGCTGTTCGTATGTCTTAGGGCACCACTGACACCTGGAGAGAAATGAAAATGGCACTGAATTTGTGTCAATTAAATCCTGATCAAATACCAGATTGTTTTAAAGCTCAGCTTCTCTTGGGTTATGTTCACCACTGCCAAAAGCCATCAGCAGCATATTATGAACACCTATCTAATAAATGGCTCTCCCTTTTCGAGATCAGTGCAGTGCAGTGCAGTGCAGCTTTGCTTCATTACGGAAATTGCGCCAAAATAGCTCCTCTTATGTGTGAACAGAAGACCTATCTGACATGGTTTTTGTGCCAACACAAAAGTAGCCTGGTAAAGCACAGAGCCTTAAATTTAAGGCAAAGAGACAAATCATAAAACTGTTGCAATCACCTTTTGCAGAATACAAATCAATATTATGCAAATTGAGAACGGCGTGAAGAACTTCATAAATAAGAATAAAGAATCTTACTTATCAAGGGGACAAAAATAAAGTATGAGCACAAAATAACATCTCTTTTAACATTTAATTTGTACATCGAAATGAAATTCATGTTGAAATGGTTTTAACTTAGGTTAACTCTAAAATATCCTTTCTCTCCTAGCCCTACACCTATCATCATGATTAATAATTAATGCTAGAAGGCAAATTGAGAGTCATAAGTTAAAACCACTTTAACCTAAATTTCATTTTGGCTAACAACATTTCTATACACATGATCATTATTTTTAACAATAATTCAGGGGACAAGAGGGGCCTGAAATCCTATTAAATCTCCAGGTTATTATTATCATCATTTTTAAAATGTATTAAGATGTAATATATCAAGCATGATGTGCAGTGTTTCATCACCACATGAAACATTGAGAAGAGAGTTGAAACTACGAAGCGCAGCAGAGTATCTTTGACGAACTTCGAGGTGTTTCATCTGGTGATGAAACACTGTGTCGAATGCTTGATATTACTTCTCAAACAATGATTTTAGAAGGAGAAATTAAGGCACTTTTTCATCTGATTTCCAAATACCATTAAACTTTAATTTTCTTTGTATTTTCTTTGTGAATTATTAATGAGTTTGAGAAAAGCAAGTAAAGTGGCTACTTAATATGCCCCTCTTTGCACACTGACATGTAATGTGGTCTACACATTTCTCTGCTACATCTTTTAAGTTTTTTAGACACTCAGACAAACAAGTACATGTATTTATCAACAACTTACTCATAAGGCTTCTTCTTGGCTTGTTTGTGTATGTGCATGTGTCGCTTTAGGTAAACTGCATTGATAAACTCCTTGGAACACAAATCACATGTAACAACTGATTCCCGAGAATGCAACAGTCTGTGTGCTTTTAAGTTATCTCGTCGCGTGAAAGCAGAACCACAGTCTTCACACTCAAAGTTCTTTTCATTCTTGTGACCTGCCATGTGGCGTTTGAGATCTGCACTTTTGACAAATGCTCGGTCACACTCTGTACATTTATGCCGTTTGTCCCCTAGATAACAACAAGAGACCAATATTAATTAGATATTTCAGAAATTGACAAAGAACCTTGGACTGAACAATAATATCTACATAAACTGGTAGTAATCTCAGATTAGGAGGTGTGTTTGAGCTCTTTTAGGTTTACTGTCAAATGTGACATTATTTCCTAATAAATTGATGCTGCAAAATGCTTCCTGTGCTTCCAAAACAAAACAAAACAAAACAACTACGAAAAAAATAAAAAAGTCTCACCCAGCTGGAGTCAAACCCGAGATCTTCGACGTGTAAGGGCAACGCATTATCCATTGCACAATGCAACCAAAGTGTATGTCAAATTAATTGTATTCAACATTTTTGTGCCCACGAGCTACATTATTCAAGATGGTGCAGAAAATGCAGTCGTATGACGAAATGAGTACCACAAAAGGTCACCCTTGACTACAGGGTTCATACAAAAAATTGCAACCATTTTTCAAGGACTTTTCAAGGACTTTTCAAGGACCACATTAGATTTTCAAGGACAACCTACTAGGAATATAATTTCACAGATTGTACAAAAATGCATATTCCCAGTATATTCTAATAAGACTTTAAGGCTTTAACTGTTTGCTTCACCAAATTCTCTATATTTTTCAGTTCACTTGTCTTAAACTGATAGTTAATTATTGCATAAAACATGGAGCACTTTATGTAAATGACCTTTACATTCACTGAGCTACGATTTATTTTCTGTCTTGGACAACCAAAAAGCATCAAAAAATTCTTTCCAGGCTACTACATTCAAAGTTGAAGAAAATTCAAGCTCTTTTCAAGGACTTGCACAGAAATTTAAGGACTTTTCAAGGAAAAATGGAATTCAGGGACTTTTCAAGGACTTCCCCTAAAATTCAAGGACTTTTCAAGACTGTGCGAACCCTGGACTACCACAGGAATCCCAAGAGTATGTGTTGTGTTTTCCCAACGTTGAACGCAACAAACCATAGTCAAAATTAAACTGTCCCCGCTTGACATTCTGGCTCACTACTCACCAATGTGGTACTTGATGTGAGATTTGATGCAGCCCTTAGTGCGGAACTCTTTGCCACAGTATTCACACTTGTACTGTTTGACCTGCACATGAATAGCCTTATGGATGTTGAGTTCCCCAGCAGTTCTAAAACCTTTTTGACATTCCTACATCAACAGTAATAAAAATAAGAATAAGAAATAAATAATGATAATGATACTAATAATGATGATAAAAACTAAAATTATCTTTGAGGGACAAAGAAAGAAAATTACATCATTAGTAATGATTCAACCGGAAAATGATGAGGTTAAGAATCCCAACTGGAAGGAAATGGACTAGTTGCATGGTTCAAATAAAATTTTGGGGAAAAAAATCAAGGACAAAAAACATTAATTTTTTTCAAGGATGTCTTTTCCCTGTAATTTAACATAGAATGACATTGACATTTAACATAGAATGATTTTGGTGCTGTTTTGCAGACCAACTTAACCAGAAGTTAATTTCCATCTGTTCACAGGCTAGCAAAGCTGTTGTTATTTACATTCAGTTAAATTGCACTAACAATGAAAAATTCATTTTAAGGTGGGGCAGACCTTGAGTCGGGTCCTTAGCCACATCCACCACTGGCAGAGCAAAACAGACTTGAAAAAAACTGCCTCTAGAGTTTTATGATCATAATAACGGATTACCTGGCAGATAAATGGCCTGGAATCTTGATGGCTTGTTTGGTGACGTCTTAGATCATTGTTGGTAAAGAACTTTTTATTACATTTGTCACATCCATAGCGTCTGACCTTTGCAGCCTCTTTAAAAAGAACATTATTTTGATGTCAAAATTATTACAATTATTGTTTTGATCAAGCTAATTAAAAATGTTGCATGAACATCATCCAACATGGGTGACCAAAATGGTCAAACAATGTTTGATGAAACATTGAACAACTTCACTCTGACAACAGTCTGGCCAGGGATGAAATACAGAGTATGAGTGTTAAAGAAGAGGAGTATGAGGACTAACACTCTGTAAAACTGCAACAGCTGTGCAGTAGTTGTTCTAAAAAAAGCTTACTTTTTGGTAAATCGAAGGGTACATGTGGTGCTCCCTAACAACAGTGCCTTGGTGTGCACTTTAGTGGCTAGACAAGAGTTTAAAACATGAAGATGGGTGATAACAAACAATATTGTATAAGGTTTTTGATAAGATAAGGTAGTATACACTTAATACTGAGATTATTACTCCGATTATTCTGGACCTCAAAAAACCAAACCTAGAATTGTTTTATTACACATTGTTTCGAAGAAAATAATGACAAACACCACGTGGAACAGAACACAGTTTGACATTGCTCTTGGAAATCATACATAAACAATCTGCATGAACCTACAGAAAAGTCAGTTACCTGTTAGTACAATGTAGATAACTAAACTAACCTCTAAATTCATTTAATCATTAACTGCAAGCTCTAGTGAGTACAATAATTATAACATAATAATGACGGCATTTTATCGAACCAACCTGGTTTCTTTACAGTCTTTTGTGGCCAGTTGTTGACAGGCTCCTCTGGAGAACCCTCTCCAATGTCCAGCCTTCTTTCAGCTAAAATCATAATCTCAGGCTCTGCCCCGGTCTGCGTCATGACCTCTCTGATTCGTACACTCTTCTTAGTAGTATTTATTTTAGGTCGTTCCTCATAGCTGTCTGCCTGCACAGTACCGGCTACTTCTGCACTGGACATTCCAGCTGGCAATTCTCCTGCAAAGGACTGTAAGTCTGTTAAGCCTGAATTCTGCATGACTTGTGATGTCTGTACTGTGATGGACTGAGATACATTGTCAATGGGTACATTCTCCCCTGTTACAACAGATTGTGCTATGACTATGTTCTGAGAAACTTGAGTGAGTGCACCAAATGACTGATCTGTTGAAAGCGCATCTTGTGACACACCTGGCGGCATGGTGCAACTGTTGGTATTAGCTGGGATCAAACCACCAGTAGAAACCACCACTTGTGCTGAATTTTGTTGATATTCACTTTGTGCAGGATTTGTTTGAAAGTTTGCTAGTTCCATAGCTTTTTCAATGACTCCGCTGCTGGAAGATGAAGAATCCTGAGGAACAACACTTAGAGTGACAGGCTGAGTAAAGAACAACGCATTTGCAAATGGCATTGAAGAGGCACCCGCTGTAGAAACAGCTGGAATCTCACCAGTAGCAGTCACACCAGGTGACCCTAAAAAAAACACTAGGGCAGGTTGAGTTCCACCAGATGAAACATGTGGGGGTACAAATGGTCCTCGAGTCACATTTTCATGGGAATCGAGATTCAAAAGCATGGGCCCCTGTGTTGGAGAGCTTTGTACAGGTTCAGTACCTTGCAGTCTGTCTGTACATGTAGAATTCTTCCAATCACTTGTTTCATCTTCCAGGTCTGATGACTGGTCCACCACAGCGATGACTTCAACCTCTTCACTTTCCAATTCAATTGGTTCACTTTCTTTTTCTTTTGTTCTTCTTCTGAAAAAAAAAAAGTATCTCTGATATTATCTTCCCATCACCCATCATATCAAGTTTAAGATTCTAATTCTTACTTTTTTTTAAGATTCTAATTCTCATCAATTCTATTTATTCTTTTCAATTTTAAGATTCTAATTCTTATCAATTTTAAGATTCTAATAATTATTCTTATCAATTTATGGACTGGCGCCATCCTATCTTAGTGATTTGATACAAGTGAAGCACAAGAGTTCATACGCATTATGCTAGAACAAAAGCCTATTATTAGAAGTTCCACAGGAGATAATGCGCCCTATACTCGGTGGCAGGTATTTTTACTTTTGCCACACTGGCTTCATGGAACAGCCTACCAGTGAACTTTCGTAATGTCACAACACTTGCTGTTTATAAAAACAAACTTAAGATGTTTTTGTTTAGGTCTCCATTTTAAAAATTACTTCCTCTTTAACAATGTTTTTAATATATACATTTTTATTTTGTTAAGCGCTATTGATCAGCATAATTATGTAAATAGCCCTATATAAGCTATTAAATTATCATTTAAGATCATTACATTTGCAACTCTTTATGGAAATATTAAGTAAAAAATATGCATTTAAAAAAATATAGTGGTATAATTTTCTGTACATCTGAAGCTATCAAAAAGTCGCAAACAAGTGCATGTGTGATTGACTCACATTGTACATGATATGAAATCAATAAATTAATGACCATTATTTAATAAACTCGACAACCTAGACTGATTCTCAATTGCCTTTGTGTCCTGGCCTTAATTATTCATGATCAGGAAAACTTGATAATAAATGACAGTCGAACTTTCTGTAAGCGACCACCCAAAATGCAAAGACTGAGTGGTTGCTTGCAGGAGGTGGTCGTTTACGAGAATCAAACCCCAATGCAGGGTTGTCATTAAGAGCCGGGGGCTGGGGATTTTCCCCGGCTACTAAGAGAGTGGCCCCCAGTTACTTTTATTGGAAAATAGAAGAAAAATAGAACCACAAGAAATGCCTAGCCGTTTGATTCCCCGCCTACTTGTTGTATTTACCCGGCAACTTAAAATCTTAGTGACAACCCTGCCCAATGGGTCTCTTCCGAGAAGAGGCCCAAGCACATCTACTAAGGATAAGTGTAGTTCTATGTTGTCACTAAAGTCCTTTGTATATTCTAAGTAACATAGTGCACACAGTGAAAATAGAGATCAGAGAATGCGTCAAGTGGTCGTTTACAAGAGTTTAAAAACAATGGAAAATATTAACCATAAGGCCCAAAAGCTGGTCATGGTCGCTTACAGGAGGTGGTCATTTACTAGAGGTTCCAACTGTAAGGCTTCAACTGGGAAAACTGTGGTGTTGTGGACTGGCGATTGCTTATGGGAGGTGGTCTTATGAGAGGTGGTCACACATGGAGGTTCAACAGTATTAGGGTTATGAAACAATGGAAACTGAGAATCAAACTCTAACATTACTTTCATTTTGACCTACAGGATATACTGATCCAAACTTACAAGTTAGAATAATTGTGAAAGGTCTCTGATACTGTTACTCCTTCTGATTTATCCTATAAAAAAATATTGAAGAGAAAACTGTGATTTCTTCTTGAAAAAGCTAACAGGTTGCAGCTCGTTACTGTAAATCTTAGTTCTAACTGAAGAATGAGACGTGCATAGCACGCATGAAGCTAAGGGAGAAAAACAGCCAATTGAGGCATCCATTCAGCCAGCTGATTCAAGTGCCTTCAGTGTCAGTATCTGATGTCAGGGAGGCTATGGAGGTGGATGCCCCAGTTGAGGGGGGGGGGTCTCCTCTAAAACTTTTAAGTGGCTTTTGATGCCCACTGGTGCAATCCTAGCCTAAGAAAACAGCTGACATTTTGCAATGCCACCACTGGTTTGGCCTGAATTTGATCCGGTTACTTCAAGTAATTATTACTCCCTCAGTAACGTCTGAATCGACCGGCCGTTAATGCCGTCCAGTGACGTCACCACTCCTTGACCTTTGCTTTAATTCATGCAAAAAGTAAAACACGATTTTCAAGAGGCAAACCGAGAAATATCGTTTGGAAATGTCTGCATGATACAGAATTGCTTTATTTTTTTCGATCGTAATTCATGTTTAACGTTCATACTATCAACTGCATGCAGTACAACTCTGAACCGGTTGTACTAAATTCTATATTAAATCAAACTCGGTCGCAATCACGCAATGAAATAAACACACACACGGAACACTCAGTTCAAAAACACAATGATTTGCTTTAATTCAAAAGAAGCTATTTGGTCCTTAACGAAGAAAAAAAACAAGGAGACAAGAGAGAAAAGCTAACAGAATCATTACACTTGACGGTAAAAATAACAAGAAGATCGAATTATAACATTTGGTCTCAGAAAACTTCGCGTAAACAAAATCACCGGCCGCCGAAACCACAAAGCGGCTCTAAATGAAAAACCTACCGATTTTCCGCAATGATTCTTCATTCGCAGTTCAAATTAGCATTTCAGTTTCGAAGACAAGGGCAATGTTGCTGTTTAAGATAAAGATTAAGCTTATCGAAATGTTTGAACTAAACGAAAGAATGCCAGGGATGCGATCTGTTGAATATCAAGCAACAATCCCGCTAAAATTTTTTCATAATTATACATAATTATGCGAATGTTTAGACAATCAACCAATCAAAATCACCACCAGGTTTTTGGGTAGTGAGTGACGTCACTGGACAGCATTAACAGCTGGTCGATTCAGACGTTGTTGAGAGGAGAAAACGACTCGAAGCAATCGGATGAATTTCAGGCTACCACTGGCTCCCCTCCGAAATGATGTATGAGTACCAAGCACAGAATCTGGGTACTGCTTCTGTTGTTTGGAGCAAATTTCCCACACGGTATGACCAATCAGCAAGTGCTACCCTGATCTGAGTAGTGACGTGTTATCAGTATGGAATTTCTTTGCCTGTTCCTCAGACATGATTTTGCGGGGAAACCAGCTGTGGCGTCGCAAAATGTCAACTGTTTACTCAGGCTAGTGCAATCCAAGGCCTCTCTTGTGAGGTGAGATCAAACGGATTTAATACACTAATGCCTTACCATTTAACAGTCAAGTTCTTGTTAACAAATAGTGGATAGAGCATTCAAATAGTGTAGCATGAAAACAATCTGTTTAAATGTTTTGAGATTTCTCAAATGAAATTGAAATGGTTAGACTTGCAAAAAAGCAGAATGTCACCAAAATTCACAATTTAAACATTTCTTCTTTGTGAAGGGTATTTGACGGTCAAGAAGCCTGTCTCAAATGGTCAAATGCCACGGAGGTTGCCCGGGGGGAATTGAGCGGCGCGTATATAATTATGTCAGACATAATGTTCAAAATATCCATGTAGAATATTTCAACACACGTACAACCAACCAAATTTATTTGAAACACAATAGGTCTGATTATTAATGCACTAAACTTGGCCATCAGGCAAAAAGGCAAACACTAAGTTATTTTGTAACATTACAAAGCACTCACTTTATCGTTAGATGTCGCTGTCCACGACTTTACAAAACTGCACCCGATCTGTTTTGCGTCCACAGTTGAATTTTCGGATGATCTAAAGAAAGAAGACATGTCTTTGAAAAATTATGTTACACTACAACAAACTGTTAAAGAGAAGTCAACCGTATATAAAAGCCCATAAACATATCGAAGGAACGAAGACCATGCATGAGGGATAAATGCGCAACAAACGTTGCTGCCTGCACTCCTGCAGATAAGATAAGATAAAGCGTCTGTACCTTTCAGGTTCCTCCATCATTATTTTTCCAAAAACTTCATATAGAGCTCATGATTTCGTCCGCTCACTCCAATTTTCGCGTTTTCACAGGCTGAGGAACGAAAAAAACAAGGCGTCTTCACCGCACCAAAGAAAGATATCCCAGAATGCCTTGTTACTCACAACGTGCCACCTTCCCACAACACCTTGCACACCGCAGGATTCCGCGCAGATCTGCGGCGCCTCTGCGTCGCCAAATACAGCTATTTAGGTCTCTTGATATATGATTATCCTGTAGTGACCTGTAGTCCTGTAAAAATATTAGGACTCCTGGTTAAGCTCATTCACGAGCAAAAAAAAAAAAATTTCACTCGAAATTAAAGAGAGCGGACGAAATCATGAACATAGGGCATCCACCATGGCTCTAATCGGCTTCTGGCCTCTGGCCAAGGCTTTTGATTCTGACATCTAATGTCGGCTCTCAAGGGTCTTTGAAATCGGTTCCTTGGCCTGCCTGGAGAATTAAATGGCCTTTTTATACTACGGACACATTATCTGTCTGGGCGAACTTGGGCAAACATTTTGCGGTTCATCTGGCATAACCAGACGAACCATCGGTAGTGCGTCGTTCAGGGCGTAATTCGTCCAGACGCATGCATAACGCGTCTTGTGCCGTCACACAACCAGACGAAGGTTTGTCCAAGTTCGTCCAGACGGATAATGCGACTGTATGTAGTATAAAAACGGCCATGGACGGATAATGCTTCCTCTCATAAAAACGGCCAATGACTCTATCGCCCCATTAATCTCGTACCCAGTTCTCCCACGACCAAGGGAAAGGGAGATCTCACTTTTCAGCGTAAGACAGAGTGAAATCTGGGTACGAGATTATCGCCCCATGTAAGGGAATCCAAGGTAGTCTTGGGGCGCGATCCATTCAACCAAACTTTCCGGAAATTTCGGTCCAAAACTCAATGGATCGGTTTGGTCCAACCGGAAAAGTTTCAAAAAAACGGGTCCACCTTTTGAGGTGGACTACTTTTCCCTGTCGGACCGGTTGGAATTTTGGTTGAATGAATTGCGCCCTTGGATTCTGGATCCACATGGAGATTGCGCAATCCAAGTACTGTACTCAGTCCGGATTCATTTCTCAGTTGACTGGCTTAGATTCGGGATCCCAATCCTTTGTGGGATCTGGATTATTTCATTTGGGCTGTATTCCAGATTCCAAAGCTCAGGATTCCAGATTCCACAAGCAAAAAAACATGGGACGAACTTATTTTACAGGTATATACGTCTTTCAGTAATATAGATCAGAATCATATCATATTCGTTATTCGCGAGGAGTGAAAAAACTTCTCAATCCATTTTGGGCAGATTGGGGGCGCTTTCCATTTCACAAACACTCCGATTTGAAATTTCGGAAAATCTACATGACCATTGCAACGGTACATTCCGGTCGCACATACCCGACCCAAGCCACCGCGCGTTTGGTTATTGCTCTTGTAAGCAGGATACAAAAGAGCGGTACTGGGGACAACAATTTTGTCAAATGGAAAGGGACATTTCGGTCCGACCGACAGAGGTAACCTGACCGGTCAAGGTGGACCACCTTGAACGGTAGTCCCAAATATACCGGTCGGACCGAATCGAAATAGTCTGTTCCATTTGATTTCTAACCGAAATTTCCGGAATTTTGGGCTGAGCGCCCTAGGGGTCTAGGGGCATGCACAGCTTCCCAAGGAAGAAGATCAAATTTTGGGTCCTCGGGAATGCTGTTTAAAGTGTAGCGGCGGGCAATTCAAAGTGTTTTTTTCTGAGATTCAAAAGAGGCTTTCGATCTAGTACCCTGAGAAAACAGCCGACATTTGGCGACGCTATCACTGGCTTCCGCCCAAATGACGTCTGAGAAAAGACCGCAGAAATTCCACACTGATGACGCGTCACTACCCGGATCTGGTAGCGCTTCAGAATGGTAGTGTTTCTGCCGTGCATAACTTTTAGGAATAGACTGGCTTGACAGTTCTGCTTAATAGTGAAATTCCCAGAGTGGTCTTCCCAACCATTTTTAATGAATGTTAAGCACCCTGATGGGAAAACTGATCAATGCGTGAATCCGGCCCACATAGTCTCTGTTGGAGGATAAGAGCAGTCAGACAAGTTAACCCCTTGCATTACAGCACCCTTAAGAAAACGCCACGTTTATTGATGTCCTTTAAGAAACCACTGAGGTTTCACGGGTCGCTATGCTCAACAACTAAGCTGTCAATATTGGGGGTGGGGGGGTATACAGTACATTTCCATGATCAAGGCTTAAAAAATGCTAACAAATTAAACATTGAAACGCACTCTGTTAAAATCTTTGACTGTTTTATTGTTGATTTAAATGTATCTTTTAACTAACACATTGAGAGATACTGGACTTGCTAATTTAAAAAGCAATGCATAAATTCTAGACATTCTGGTTTATCCAAACAAATAAGTTTAATACCTTAAACTGTCTACTGACAATGCTTTAATGTTATAACTACAGAACACGGATCCTACAGCAAAGCAGTTGTCACAAACAAGCTAAGTCGAGAGAAATCTCATTGAGTATAATCACCGTGCACTATACCTTTGCGAGTGCGACAAATTGTTTGACAAGTTTTTGGCATCTTTGTTTACAAAACCGCCTTCCTCGTCTCTGAAATGTAATCAAATAAGGTCTTCATTCAAGTTACGAAGGACCGACAATTTTGCTCGGCACTAAACAAAAGCCCATTTTCGTATAGAAAAGTCGAGAATTACTGCTGTTTTTATTGGTATGCCGCCAAGCCGAGTTATGCTTGGACCAACCTTGCTCCAGGGTCTTGTCGTTTTCCAATATAGCGTTTCTGCCTCAGCCATAAAAACGAAAAGACCCTGAGGACGAAGTTGAAAGAACGCCTAACGTTGGCAAAAACCTGCCAAAAGTTTAACAATGAGTAGGAAAACTGTAACAAATGACCTTCGAGGAATGGACTTTGTCGCTCTCTTCGCAGACTGTCCTCACAATGGAGTGCTCGAACCATACTTATATCAACTAAGAGCAAACATGCATAAAACAACACTGAAAAAAAAACACGAATCCTCGTGGTTGATGGTCTTAATATCGCTTAACGTAAATCATTATCCAGGTTGTTCATACGCCTCATTCCTGCAAAACAATACCAAAAAATATTCAAACGTTTGAAAGAAAAACATAGCTTTAGCAACGTGAAAGACAGCCTTTTCAAACAAAAGTGATGTGTTTGAGACGGGCTCTCCTCAGTTTTTGTAATATCTTACGCAGCCCTTTTTTGTGTCGTCACACAACACTCCTTCCCCCACGGTTGCGTAGGAGACTACACTCAGGTTTTATAGCCTATTCTCTCATTATTGACATCAAGTCACGCATCGTCAAGCATCAGACTATCAACCTCGTTCCCAGCATCCTCTCTTTCTAACCCTTGGGACGAGGTTGCGGAGCACTAAAATTCACCATTTTCACATAGACCATAACGCACCCTGTTTACCCTCCAAAAATTTTGCATAACCATTGTTTCCAATTTCTCCCGCATAATACAGTCGTCCCAAGAGAAATCGAAGACACTAGTTACGTATTTTTTTTGGGGGGGGGGGGGGGGGGGGAAAAAAAGGGGCATTATGAAAAAATGGTGAATTAGTAGTATTTTCAACTAATAAGCACGTTTTCCAGCACATAAAACTTATGCACATTACCTTCTTATGACGTGGCAGTACACGCTAGGGAAGGCAGAGCCAAGACTGACACAAGGAATGACACAAGACAAACAAAGGTCACTTTGTTTGGAGAGGAGGCGAGTGGAGGAATGTTGAAACTTTCACTTTAAATCTATTGCGCTGTTATTTAACCCATCGCGCTGTCACAGTAAGCTGTCACTAACGTAACACTAAGATAGCGTTAAGATAATTCGAGTGTGGTGCGCGCATTTGAACAGGTCAGGTCAGACACTGAGCAAGTTTGCTCATTTACGTTGCTTTCATTTTGGTGTTTGTATGTCCTCAGCACCTGTTTACGGCTAGTGGTACTTCGATTGCAATGGTCCAAAAGGATAGGGTTATATTCTACTGAATTGTCTTAAAATAAAGTTGTTGTTGTTGTTACTAAGTTTCTCACAACTTTTGCACCAAATGAAATAGCTTCGTTATCCGATTTAATCAGGACCTAACACTGGCCCGTAAAAAAGGCGTCCCTTATCACCACACCGAACGGTAGTATTAAAGCCGGATTGTGTACGGTGTAATTAATTCTAGAAGAGGTAGAAATTTAGCACCAGACAGCTCAGAAAAAATTCTGAGCTCCAAGTGAGGTTCAAACGCGCAACCCTCCGAGCTCTAGTTCGGATGCACTAACCACTAACCGACTGGAGACTCTATGGCGAGCAGGGTCGAAATTTAATCGTAATTACACGAGCCATTAGACTGTATCGGAGACTCGCTTACATACCGTTACGTCCATCCCTTCCAACATGCTTGAACTCTCGCAGAGCAGCTCTCTTTTCAGGGTTATTACGGAACTCCTTGTCTAGCAAGTCCCCTTGATGTCTGGCCTGTCCTATTCTGTACATCATATCGTTTGCCGTTTGCGCATCCAAACTACGGACGAATAAGGACTAATGTAAATGTTTGCTTTATAGACCGGATATATATATTTATTCAAGGTAAAGTCCCGAGGAGGCAGGGTACTCAACAGGGTTTCATACGTGGAGGCTCCGCCCCGAGGTCCATCCCCTTATCCTTTTAT